TGATCTGTGTCCAAAAACCAACACTAGCCCGGATCGGGGACAAGCGTCCACAAGCTCACGCAAGCCAAGCCAAACGCCCTCTTTACACACTTGTGCTTGTGGATGCTTGCCGGAACTTGGCAAGCGTGGAAACCCGGCATGATATTACCCGTAGTCGCTATGTTTGTTATAAGAAAGATGCTGCTGCCCATCTCATGTTTCACTTCATCTTTCGACACCCACATGATGATTTGGAGTATTGTAGGTTCTCTTACTTATATATAAGACAAATTAAAATAGTTAAGTACTTTATTTATAGTATAAAGAGCATATTTAAATACTTTATCTACATATTTCATACAAGACGGACGTGTGCTCTTAAATAAATAATTTAATTTTGTCTTCCGTTAAAACTGAGTCTTGTACTTCATGACGTCGACGCGTATAAATTAGCTTTCTCGTAAAAATAATACTTAATATTAAAACTGAAATTTATTTTGAGATCTATAAGTATACATAGAACATTATAATGTAATCGAATATAATCACCCTCACAAAGGGTTGAGCTTAGGACAAAGGGTCGAATTTTTTAACCTCACATTTGATTTGAGTAACCACATTAAATATAAGCTAGATTTCAATAAAATAAAAGACACTCTCAGAGAGAAACCTCTGTTACAGACTGGCAGATAAACAGACACCAAAATAATTATTTCCGGAATGCGTTTTGTTGTATTTCTTATAGAACTTTGAAATTATGAAGGTTTGTAAAAGTTCAATCCCCTATATTTTTTTTGTCCCTATCTTCTTGATTCGTTTGTTACTATTTAGAAATTCATAATTAAAATTTTTAAATAAAACTAGCAACTTAGCAATTGAAAAAATTAAAATGAAAACGGTACGATATCAGTTATTCTCCCCATCATTGTCATGGTTTGGAACTTAATACAAAATTGAATGTTGCACGTGATGTGCATAATAATAGGCTGCTGTCAGTGAAATGGATCACTGGCCTTGTACAAGGATATTGCTGAATATATTTTCGTGAGATTCATAACTTTTTACAGTAATATTAATTTATTAAAAGTAAATTATTCAAAACAAAGCAAAAAAAGTTGGCGCAAAATAGTAATTCAGAAGTAATCAGTATGAAATCTTTACTCAAATTTTTTCAATACTTGGTAACGGAGTGACTATGTGTTTTATCTGCGTCTTTACTGGTCACGCGTTCGATTCTTGCTCGGAACATGTCGGTTAAGAGCATAGAATATTGCAATTGAATTTCTAATAGGTAGAGTATGTGAGGGTAATATGGTCATCCGGTTAATATGATCACTTTCTTATAATTCAAAAACTACAGCGTCGTTTGCATAGAACACTCTGTGATACGATAGCTCTTGATTAGTCTAACAAATAATAAAGGGTCAAAAAGGCGCTCCTTTATCGACGCCATTTTGACAGTTGATATTATTGTAAATATTTTAGTCGATTTTTGCATTGTGTAGTGTAGTTAGTTTTTTTACCCTCGCGTACTATAGTTAATTTATTTTAAGTAGATTTTTCGAAGTGTTGCTAATTATTGCCAAAGCTTGTTTGTTATTTTTTTTTCTATATTAGTTATAGTATACGACATTATGTATTTGTCTCTGTCCTCCTCCTAGTTTTGGTTTTATAAGGCGGCAAAACTTAAGGTCACCATATTACCCTTACGTACCTTATTATTATTATTACCTATTAGAATTTTCAATTGATTGGAGTTTGCAGTAGAGTAGCGAATTTTTTTAAATATTTTTTAAGTTCCATTACACCCCCGAGAAAGAAGATATTGGGGTACTTATCAGCTATATCAGATATACATATCAATAGCTCGTATTCCAATAACTTGAAATCTATAAAAATCTTCATGTTGTGGTACGTATCAGGCGTACCTAACGTATATTCCAATGAATTCAAATTCATTAACAATTTTGTCAACTTACAATTTTACAAATCATAATATTTATTTCTTAAAAATTATTTATTTTCAGTACGCAATAATATCAGTTCCTTTACAACAAAACTTGTAAGTATTCTGATGTTATGCAAAAATATAAATAAATTATTTGTTTAATTTCTACTTCTTCTTTCTTATATCTGCTATTTTTTTTTTGCAATTTATTCATTGTTTTTTTAAATAAATAATTTCAATTATATTAAAGTTACGCTATATGAAATTGAATTTCATAGTAAGTGAGCAACCTTATTTCCATCCCCGCTGGCACCACTGAAACTGTACGTTTTCGGTGGTGAATAAATACCTTGTGAAGAAATGTGCACGTCTGAGAAATTCAAAATATATCGAGGACATGTAAATTCTTTTTCCTCAAAGAAATGATGAGCTGCCTGTATACTAGGGGTATATTTTTATACAATAAGGTTGACAACAAGCACACAGTCCATCTGATGGTATACCACTATCTTCGATTAAGAATTAAAATGCAGATGCGTTGTGACCCCTGAGAACTTAGATGGAATGCCTCATTTCCAGTAAAAATTGTTTTCGGTTCTCTACACAAACCACACGAAATACAACAACACTGCTCGGATATCTTACGTTGGTATTTTGTAAAAAAGCGTGGTTATTTCCCGGTCGCGCTAACCCATGCGTGCTATAACCATAATATAGCTGCAGCATCGCTCTACAACGTATAGAATGACGTATATAGGCTGTTATGCTCTTTTCTTTATAGTCCGAGATATTAAAATGCATAAAAACGTACAAGTTTTGTAGGTAACCACAATATGTGCACAAATTAAGAACCCCAAAAATTACTAGCAATGAACACATTTATCTGGCAAACTGCCATTATATAACACTACCTCGCTGCATACTACAAAAATAAACCGGATGAGAGAAAATGAAGTCACGTCAAGCAGCCGTTTTTCTTGTTCGTTGCTTTCAGCTGCATCGTATTTTATTAGAATAAGCGTGATAAAATATTTGATACCTAAATGCAAGTAATTGTGGTTTATGAAATATTTTAAAACATTATATCACTATTAACATTAAATTCATATATTTTGTAATAAGGAAACTTACTTTTAGTAACGATGTATTCTTATTTTGTAAAACGAAACTGATTAACTAACTTAATTAATTGACACCAATTTTTTAATTGTTTTTATTTTATCACTTCACAGAAGAAAAGGAAATAATAAGAAAAATAAGGTATTTATCTACAAGTAAGAGTATAATTTCTTCTTAATTGATGAAATATACATGGAGGTCTATGTTCAACAGTAGACTTTTCATGGACTGTAACGAAGACAAAGCTGTGGAGTGGCGGCATAAGAAAATCCACAACGCCATATACGACGGCTCCGTGGCGCAGTGGCTTAGCAATGAGTTGTTGCGCTGGAGGCCGCGGGTTCGAATCCCGCACGGAACAAGTATTTGTATGGCCTACAAATAATTGTTCCGGGTCTGGATGTTTGTCCTCGTGTAAGCTATGTTTGTAAACTGCTTCCATGATACAGGAGAAAATCCTAGTGTGGCGGTAACGTTGTTTTTAAAAATTTAATAGGTAAGAAAAAAAATTATCACAGTGGATGTCATAAGAGGCGAGGCGGGGAATGATGCAAGAGATGGACAGCGGCACTTTCCTGATTTCCTGATAACAACTCAAAATAATAAAAAAATTTTTAATTTTCAACCCGTTTACCAAAATGCCACGAGTGTCTTCCAAGAATGGCAACCCGACAAAATCCTGCAAAGCGAGGCTTCAGCAGTGAATTCTTAATAGGCTTTATTTAATAATTAACTAACATTTACATAAAATGTACGTTCAATCTTTTTCGTTTTATTGACGGCTCCGTGGCACAGTGGCTTAGCAATCAGTTGTTGCGCTGGGGACCGCGGGTTCGAATCCCGCACGGAACAAGTATTTTTATGGCCTACAAATAATTGTTCCGGGTCTGGATGTTTGTCCTTGTGCAATTTATGTTTGTAAACTGCCTCCACGACACGGGAGAAAATTCTAGTGTAGGGGTAACGTTTTTTAACAAAAAAGATATAAATTTCAGATGACACATAATGAAAAAAGTTCTACTGAAATTTTGACGGAGTAAGTAAATAATTTAATACTGCAGTTTATATGTCAATCTTAATATTATGTTTCAAGGACAATTGTAATATTTTTAACAGTTCTTGTCAGAGTATTTTTAATGTTCAATAGCCATTTGTTGTAGATAGTAGATACAATTAATAATAACTACTGTCTATGAACACGTGCGGTCAAATGCAAACAAAGAAGTGTATATTCTATACGTAACAAATTTAAAACTTACGTAATGACTTAAGCTAAATGTAGCAAAAAATCAGTTTTAATCTTATAATTAATTATATTTTATAAAAGGTGTAAAATATTAACTGAAATGTGTCTTAATTTAATTTTTTTAAAATGATAATATTTTATAATTTTACAATCTACGTAAATAAATTCACTACCTACTGTTCTCCAAGAGGGCTTTATAGCATTAAATTATAGGTCATTGAAATGCACAACACGTGTACTATGCAATTTGGTATAAAGTACCAAACAAAACCGTGCCAAAGATGAAATATATCGGAATATTTATTTTTGTCACAGAAATTCGGAAAACTTGACATGAAATTTGATTTTGGAAATGAATGGAAATTATGCACAATCACGAAACAATAATATTTTTTTTAATTTTAATAATTGTTTTGTTTTTTTAATTATAGTCTAAGTGAATACCTACGATCCTTGTCTTTGACTCTTAATTATTTCAAAGACAAATAGTATGTATTATTAAGACGTTGCTAATAAGAGTGTAAATTTAATTAAAGAATTACAAGAAAGGAAAAGGACATGATCTTCTATCAAACCTGAGCACTACGGCGGTTGTTGATGTTATATTATCTACCTCGTAAAAATAAATTTCTGTTTCATCTTCTTAATTTATTTTCAATCAGAAGCAATAACATTATATTAAATGTATACTTTACAAACTTATTTCAAATGACACTAAGCATACTCTTCAAAACGATGAAAACTGGTTCAGATGCAATTTCCGGTCGAATGAGTTCGCTAGCTTTTCTGCAGATGGTAATCCGCGCTAGCAAACTTTTAGCATTTGTAACTGTATCAACTTTGACACATTGAAATGTATTTCGTTTGAAACGCAGTAGAGTCCAAAAATATAAAAATAAGAATTTCAAGCATTTGCAGTCCTTAACTTTTAGCAAACTAGACATGAAATTGAAAAAATTAAAAATCAGTAATAGTGACGAAGTTTATAAATTTATTCTTAAATCACTTAAAAATTATTTCGCTATTTTAGTAGGTATATTATAAACTTACAAGATTTACTATCAAAAATAAAAAGCAAAACGAAAAAAAATACTTTACATTCAATTTACTTAGTCTCTTCGATCGAACAACAGATCCATATCTGATGTTCGATCTTCCGTATGAGGCAATCTATGGGGAGGCCTATTATCAGCATTGAATTGGATTGGATTGGATTGAATTGGATTAACACTGATGTGTTTTGTATGGTGAGTGTAGAGAACCGGAGACCCTTTTTACTGGAAAAGAGGCATTCCATCTTAGTCCTCGCGGGTGACAACGCATCTGCATTTTGATTCTTTATTGAGGATACATGTAGATATCTATGGGTTACAGCAACCTCTTGGCATCAGGTGGTTTGTCACCTAATCCTATAAAAAAATTGGACTTTTGATAGACTTTAACGGTACAAGCCGACTTCAAAGAACTAAAAATAATTAAAAAAATACATTCTAAAGTCAGCGCTAAAACTTAGTAATTGAATATGTTATAATATAATTTAAAATTAAAAATTTTGTACAGCCGATTCAATATAAGTTATTAAGAATAACTCAAAAACTATTGGTCTGACCATGATCAAATTCATATGGGACCACACGAGAAGTATCAGCTTTCATATAAAAAAGAATCATCGAAATCGGTAAACCCGGTAAAAAGTTATGAGGTAACACATATAAAAAAAAACATACAGTCGAATTGAGTACCGTCTCCTGTTTAGAAGTTGGCAAAAAAGAAAGGTCGGGAGTGCTCTTCAAACTAGTTAGGACACGTAATTTTTTATTTTTTCATGCGGATTTTAGCCTGTTAATTTTTAACATGTCTAATATAATGAATTTCCACAAGGTAACGCTTCGTTATTTACCTATTTAATACATAGAGTATAGAAGGATTAGAGCCCCGGCTTCAGAAAATTAAAATTATTTTTATATGTAATTATATATATATATATATATATATATATATATATATATATATATATATATATATATATATGTATGTATTATATAATCATTAAAATCATTTAATTCTTTCAGTCCTTTAAAGTCGGCTCTTACTTTTTTTACCACTATGAGTGGACCAAGGTATGACTTAGTCTTGGTGTCGTCTAAATAGTTATATTAAATACTTCATCCTGTATTTTGCTACCATTATTGGTGTAATTTTTACTTAAATTTTATAAGTACCCCTGAAATATGAAATAACGCATTTAATAAAAATATAATCATTCAAAAAATACACACAAAAGAAAAATAAAGCAGTCAAATTGAGGACATCCTCCTTTTAGGTGTCAGCTAAAAATAACAGTTTGTTATGTCCATATAAGAAGGTTTATTTTAAGATTCAAATAGTCTTGTCCTGTCTTGTCCTTACTATACAGGATTTCATTTTAATTGTTAACTAACCCATATCTTGTAATTTCATCCTTTCAGCACAGAGTCATCCGAGTCCTCTAATCGAGTAAGACTACCATATTTTAAACAATTTAAAATTAATAACCTATCTTCTATCTATTATAAATTAATAAGCTACCTTAATCAGCCATCTTCACTTAATGGTCAAGGTCACCCTTAAATTCAACAACAAAAATAATCAACATGGGAAGAACTATGGAGTCATTGTGCTTGGGTTTGACTCCTTAGTGGAGTATGTTTTAATGCGCCTTAACCTCAAAATCTCCGAGATTTGTTAATCGATTTTGCTATTTCTGGTAAAGCGATAGAGTGAGTTAGTGAGCAATTACACACCTTTACAGTAAATTGCATTTAAATTTTTACCAGTTTCGAGTGTAACTAAAAGTTTTAGATATGGTTGCAATACTTTAATTATGTCAAAAAAATGTATGTAAAAATGTCAAACGAATTTGCGAGAATATAAAACAGGTGTTCGTAATGTACCCATAGATTGATGGAAAAAGCTCTGAAGACCCATTGTAATATAAATTTTGTCCGAAAGGCTAGCTCAAATTTTACAATCCGGTGATGAAGAACAGTATTAACATTGCTAATATGGGGGAGGGTGATCGAATTTGTGTTCATCCAATCATCTGCTCAGTAATGTATTGCTTCCTAGTAAAACTTGTAATTTGGCGCTGTTTGGTTATACAATTACAGTTTTTTTTTTCAGACAACAAAAACTGTAAAACCTTATGTTCTTATTTTTAAGCTGTGCAATGTCCCTTCTGAATAAGGCGTTAAAATACAACATATGCCATAGGACTTCAAAAAAAAGAGGGATGAGAACCCCTTTGTTGCAACTGTTTTTTTTTTGTATGTGTATATTCCGCCATATCTTTGCCTAGTTTTGCTTTTTAGTTAAATTAAATTCAAACGAAATTTTAAAAAAGTAGATAAAATAGGAAATATTTTTATTGTAACTATAAACACGGCGTTATTATTGTCATCTCGCACTTGAGTTATTGTATGGTCTACTGAAGATCTAGCGAAGGCTTTAATTCTTCGATCTTTTTCTTCTTTTGCCATCTTCTAGATTTGTACACTTTATTTTAGCAGCGCCTTTAAGTTATGAAAATACGTAGAAACTACTTAAATCCTTTTTATTTTTGTAGTCGGTTTTTTCGTTTTATTTTAGGTTAAATAAATTAAGCAGTGGTAACTCAGATGGTTAGCGCTTGCTGTAAGTTTCACAGTACGTGAGAAACCCGGGTTCGATCCCCGCCAGCACCAATGAAATTGTTAATTACAATTTTAAGTGCTGATTTACCACGTGCTCGGCCATGAAGGAAAACATCGTGAGGAAACCTGTATGTCTGACAAATAAGAAAAAAATATATTTCGAAGACATGTGAAGTTCGCCAACACGCATTGGGGCAGCGCGGCGGATCTTTCCTTGCCCTAAAACGCTCTCAGAAGTGTGAGGTCTGTGCCCAGCTGTGGGACTTGTATATAGGCTGTAACTTTAGCTTTTAATTAAATACGTTGTAAAACTAAGAACAACTTGCAATGAATCCTCGAGTCGACTAACTTACATGTTTTTCCTTTGGACGTGCTAAAATAATTATGTTTTTCACCATCTAAAAGTCTTTACAGGTTTTCAGCCTTTGTCTAGAGAATTTCCAATTTGGCAACCTAATTAAAAGTTTAATAGACAAGGGAATTTATCACAGAATTAAGCCAAAATTTTAACTAACTTGCAACTATTTTTTCAGTTTAATAGAATTCATTGTTCATTTTTCATCTCAGATAATACATAAATATTGCAACGATATTTTGATAACATATTTTATGAACTAGTGACATCTGTCACAGAAGTGACGAGCATTGGAGTGGACATGTCATGGACTGGAGACCGTTAAGACCTTAGGTATAGGCACTACCTATGCTCTTGTTAAGGGTACATGCAAAGTCTGTTAAGGCAGTTGGAAGCAACTGGACACAATAAGCCGAAAATATGGGCAAGTGGCACGGTTTAGGATAGGTTTATGTCTAACAGACGCATATTATCACAAAATATAACACATTATTTAAATGTTATGAATTGTTTCGTTCAAACCAAAAAACATAACAAAGTGTCATTTCATTTTATTTTGAAATTTCACTTTGCCGTTATTTAAAGCGTAGAAAGATAATAAAGAGATTCTTTTAACATTCACTGACTTCAAGCAATAATTATAAAATGTCTCTTTTAATTTTGTTTTACAATAAAACTAACAATAAATATACGAGTGGCTTCAGGTAACGGATTATCGAAGGAACCGCAAACGTTCGAAGTCAAAGTATAGAAATCGGGACGAATTATCTTTGAGAAAAAAAGATTCTACAGAGGATGATAGCGGTGATGACGTTTCAAAAGAATATGAAAAGAATCCGGGAAATCCTTACACAGTTCACCATAACCGGTACAAGCAAAATTGGATGTGGAATCACGTTGTAAGTAAATTCAGTTAATCGATTTTATCTCGATTTTGTAACGATTAACAACATTTTTTATTAGGCAGCCAGAAAATGCCTCTTATTAGAAATTGAAATGTTTTATATTGTGTATCCGAATCCGTCCCAGCACGGCTAGCATGGGCTGTGGACAAAAAATTTATCCCCCGATTATATCCACTGACAAAAGATAAAATTATCTTGTCCTTATGCCAGAGCACGGAAACACTGAGAAGTATATCCCCGTTTGACATAAAGATTAGACATATATCCCCCGTTCGTAGCGTGAAGCCAAATGAAAGACAAAAATTGTGCTTTAGTGATATTTGAAAGGGACAATTTTATCCTAGTTCATTGAACGTTGGCTTGAGTTTATATTCATGTAAAAATGTATCTAAGTGCAAATGTATCTCCCATTTTATCTATTGTGGACATTATATCCACCAGTGTGACCATGCTCGAAGGGTGGATAAAACTAAGCGAGGTGATAAACATTTTCTCCTTTCCCCGGGGATAAAATTTTCTCCTGCCCATGCTAGCCCTGCTGAGGTGTATAAGAGGCGACTATGGGAAATCTCAGAAAGATCTAATGACTTCCGGTAAATGGTAGTATAACTATCTCGTTACACCCGGTGTATATATAAACTGGTGAAAGGTAGCGGCATCAAATTTATGAGAATTTTGGTATTTCGTTTGCCGATCTCTCTGCCAAGATTAGTGATTAAGACAAAACATTTCTGTTAAGTGTGAGCCTCAAATCCAGAAGTGAACTATTGCGGCCTAAAGGAGAAAAGGAGAAGAATAAAAGTAACCTTTACTTTGATTTTTTTGCACATCCCACATAACGCACATGAAGTAAATGCACAATGCAATAGTAACTGCAAACACAAATGCAAACAAAATTACACTTAATTTTGTTTGCATTTGTGCAATTTTATTTGATTAACTAAATTGTTTTAAAACTTTTTTATCTATTAGGAAACACATTTAGTTTGGCAAGATGAAGAACAGGAAGATCTTTTAAACTATTGTGTATATTCAAGGCATTGTATTATATTTATAACTGAATACACACAGGAAAATAAAAATATAGTACTTGCCAAAAGGTTTTCCTGAAAAGAGAACGATAATTTTAATCAGAATTAAGGTTATATTATGTAACTGTTATACATACTTAAAATAGATTGTCAGTTCTCTATTGGCTTAGATGTATATAAGGAAATCGTTAACGATCTCAAGAATTATATTAAAATAAACAAACGAGTATTGCTTCATCTTATTAAAATTCACGATAATTTAAAGAATTCTAAAGATGATCTCGCTCTTTTCACTAAATGCCGATAGAAAGAGACAGGACGTAGAACACTAGAGAGACAGCTTAAGCTAGAATATAAAATAAGAAGTTTTATTAAATTAAATTTGATGAAATTGTAAGTTTTAAATTGCCTTTTATCTCTAGATGACTGGAGATCACATGAATGTTAATCCATATGCACCTCAGTTCGGTAATTACGGCCCAACTGCAGTAGATCTATTCTTTGGTAGAAAATGGTGGTATTTTAATCAGGTAATAATAATACGGTATTAATATACCATTTGACACACGCTGCCTATTGTTTCGATTTCTTTATATCATGACACTGACACTTTTGCATTATACAAATGTGTTTTTTTTATTTAGAAATAGGGTTACAAACGAGCACACAGTCCACCTGATGGTAAGTGGTTGCTGTGGCCCATAGACATCTACATCTATCCTCAATAAAGACTGAAGATACAGATGCGTTGTCAGCCTTGAGGACTAAGATGGAATGCTTCTTTTCCAGTATAAACGGTCTCCGGTTTTCTACACTCACCATACAAAACACAGCAGCATTAAGCTGCTATTTTACGCTGGTATTCTGTGAGAGCGTGGTCCTTCCCCGGTCGAGCCGACCCATTCGTGCTACAACTATACTACTAAAATAGCTACAGCATGGCTCTACCACGTACTAAATGTGCCATTTAATGTTTTGCGTTCGTTCAATTATTACAGCCCAGTGCTGAAATAAGGCCTCTCCCGTAGATTGCTTCGTAGTAGTGATATTTGCCACAGATGCCATGTTTGGCTGGCAACTTGGCAACCAAAGCTTAATATTATAGAGTTGTTATCTGGAAGACGTTTCTGCCCATCTTCTCTTTCAATTTTCTTCTATCGCCTCTTACGACAAACTGGTCCTTCTATCAAATATCTAAAACGATTCCTGCATGTCTATGAGGTCTTCAGAGATTTTGAGGCTCCCAAGCCGTCCTTATCACCTCTCGAGATGCTCGGATCTCTTTCGCTTTGGTTATCGGTTCTTCGAGCTACATGGCCGGTTCATTGCCACTTTCTAAGCTTATTGATTTTTGGAGTTTGCTGGTCACTGTGGTTTTTTTTATAGAATAAGTGTGACAAACGAGCACACAGTCCACCTGATGGTAAGAGTAGGTTCTGTGGCTCATAGGCATCTACATTGATCCTCAATAAGGAATCAAAATGCAGATGCGTTGCCACCCCTGAGGGCTGATATAGAATACCTAATTTGCAGTAAAAAGGGTCTCCGGTTTTCTACACTCACCATACGAGATACAGCTGCGTTAAGCTGCTACTTTACGCTGGTATTCTGTGAGAGCATAGTTCTATCGCGGTCAAGCCGACCCAATACGCAACCACAATATAGCTGCAGCATGGCCCTACCACATATAAGTCCACTACTACATTTATATAATAAACTTAGTACATTTTTTATAATAGTTACTGCTTGCACGGTTGTAAGTTGTATGCAATTAGAGAAAACTCCCTCAATAGCTCTATTGTTACCTTTCTCAGCAGTGAGCAGATCAGTTTTAAGTTCAGAGAGCAAAAAATCATATTTTGCCAAAAATATGAAAATAAGATTGCTTCTGTTTTAAAAAAAAAACTTATAGCAAATATTTTTAGGTTGTTAGAGGAATTTATTTTTAATTTTAATGTTATACCGCCTAAGAAAATATACTTTTTTCTTATCTTCTACTAAATATATCTTCATTTCAGGATGATTACAAACCATTTAATTAAGAAGAGGACCGTAGAAATAAATAACTTTAAAAACGAATTTCCTTTTATTTACTAAAACAGATATAAAAAATCTCTCCAAGCATCCCTTTGGAATGGAATTCCGGATAGCGAAGGTCGCTCATAAAATTTACACAATTTTCAAAGGACTCGGAACTTTTAATGTAATTTGCAAGTCGAATTTAACTTTAAATTTGAACGTGGGTGCCACAGGATAGAGTAACCTTTGACTTAAGTGTCACGTTGCTTAGTGAAAATATCTTGGGAGCTAATTTGTAAAACAAATACTAGATGAGACTTTTTACTAAACTTTTACGTAATACCTTTTTAACAATCTGTTAAAAGACAAGTCTTAAAATTAAAAAAATTATACAACCGACTTCAATATAAATAAAATGACAACATCATCAATGTAGTCGACGTCAATTCAATACGCATTATTGAGGATAACTCGAAAACTCGAACCCCCGTGACCATGGGTGCTGTAAAGCACCCGAAACGTCGAGAATTAAAAAGTAAAAATTAAACGCGATAAAATCCGTAAAATTAGTTTCAATTAATCAATTAATAACTCGAAAACTACTGATCAGATATTGATTAAATTTATATGGGGAACACATGAGAAGATAAATCATCACAGCCCATCACTCACTCAGTCCACTGCTGAACATAGTCTCCACCAAGAAATGGCACAAAACACGGTCCATGATCCCACCTGTTTCCATTGACTTCCTGCATGTCTTACCAGGTCGTCACTCCATCTAGTGTGGGGACGCCCTACACTTCGCCTGCCGGTACGAGGTTGCCTCTCAAGAATCTTGCTTCCCCATCGGTTGTCGGTTCTTCTGGCTATATGGCCGGCCCATTGCCACTTGAGCTTACTAATTCGTTAGGCTATGTCGGTAACTCTGGTTCTACTGCGGATATCCTCGTTTTTAAACCTATCACGCAGAGAAACCATAGCCCCCTCCACAGTCACTGAGCGACCTTGAGCTTCCTCATACGGTCAGCAGTGAAGGACCACGTCTCAAATCCATAGGTCATCATTGGCAACACGCACTGATTGATCAATCTTGTTTTGAGGTGTGTCTGACGAGAAGATGTGTCGCAATCTCCCGAACGCTGCCCAGCCGAGTTGAATCCGTCGATTGACCACTCGGTCGAAGTTAGACTTCCCTAGTCGGACTGTTTGTCCCAGGTAAACATACTTGTCAACAAATTCGAGCTTAGTGCTCCCAACAACTACCGGTATAGGTGTAACTTGGACGTTACACATGTTTGTTTTGTCCATGTTCATCTTAAGACCTGTCCATTGGGAGACACTATTGAGGTAATTGAAAATAGTGCTTAGGTCCTCCGGCGATTCTGCCATACTCTCCATTAACGTTAATACCATATCCTTTCCAGTTCAGTAGCTTGAAAATGTTTTCCAATGCAGCGGTGAAGAGTTTCGGGGATATGACGTCACCCTGTCCTAAATTGCTCTGCAGTTGGATAGGTTTCGTACTCGGATAGTCATCGTAGCCCTGCTGTACAAACACTTCAGCACTTCTTTATACCGACAGTCAATTTGGCACCGCTGAAGGGACTGTAGCACTGCCCAAATTTTGACGGAATCAAAGGCTTTCTCATAGTCTACATACACAATACAAAGTAGCAGCTTGTACTCTTCGGTCTTCTGTACATTGGCTCGACAAGGTTTACTTCCTGTGGAAGAAAGAGTTTATTATAAAGATTTCCTCTATCTTCATGGAGTTATTCAGCTATTGAATGAAACATGAGAAGTACCAGCTTTCAAATAAAAAAGAACCATTAAAATTAATTCACCTAGAAAAAAATTCTGACGTAACATATATAAAAAAATACAATCGAAATTGAGAACCTCCTTTTTTTGAAGTCGTTTGAAAATAAATATACAACATATTTTTAACTTTTACTTAATTTTAAAACTGGTACGAAACGTCTATAGCATTAAATCTGGCCTTTGTGTCCTTTCGAATAGATGATGGAATTAAATTATGTATATTTAGCTATATGTAACATTATATACTCGTACGATAGTTTGAGCATTTTATGTAGAGTAATCTTTCTGTATTTGAACACGTTAGGAATAAAGTATACGAACTTCTATGTTTACTTGGCAAATTGTACACGAAGCAAAGAGTATGAAGTATATGAACATTTTATGTCTACTCAGATACGTTGTACGAAGAAGAAAGCAGTAATATGTATCAGAAAGGACTACCTTTCTGATACATATTACTGCTTTCTATTTTTAAACAATCTTATTTCCATGGCATGGCTATATTTAAGAGAGATTCGAGATAGTAATTTCCGAGATTAATATTGCGGAGTCGTTTTAAAATAAATCTTATCAGTCTAATTTCTCAATCCAGCGAGTCCATGAGGACCGCTGAATATAAAATGTTGGGATCCTAAAATAGACATTATTTAAGTTTAAATCAACGCTTTAAGCCTGTACTGTTTGTCTTATTACAAATAGTCGTTTATAATTATTAGCCTCAGGTTTAAACTGGTAGGTGACTGAGAACTCGTTTGTCGCCCTCGTGCTAAAAAAAAATCTAGTCTTTCTTAAAAAAGAATTCCCACGACAAATATGCAAACTAGGGCAGCCACCGTGCTGCTTAATGGTTGTTAGCATACGGCACATATCTTCAAAATATTTTATTCCTTAGACATGCAGGTTTCCTCACGAAATTTTCCTTTACCACCAAGCATGTGGTAAATCAGAACTAAATACTGAAATCAGCAATTTCATCGGTGCCGGCGTGGATCGAAACCTTTAAAATTTGTTTTGATTTAATAATTAAAGACTGTCATTTATAGAATTTTCTTTTTTACTTCAACATTTAATATTATTTAGAAATAACGTGACGAAAGTTCAAAATCATAACTTTCAATAAAAAAACCTTCAACGTCTTGATAAAAAGTCTTCAGCAACTTTAGAAATAAATAATGTTATTATATATCAATAAAACGTTCGCTCCCTTCTTGAAGGGAGCCCATATTCAATTTATTGTCTTTTAACAGTAATTAATAGCAGTAAATTGATATGGGTTAATAAGGACGTGAAAAAAAGAAAAGAACGAAGTAAGGCATGTGCCAGAAACATTGAAATAACAAATTATGGGTACGGGGCAAGTTTGTAGTAAATTAAATCGTATCTGAGCCGTGGTAGGTGTGGTTCTAAGTTACACAGGACGCGAGCAACCGTGGTTCGATCTCAGCCGACACAAATGAAATGACTTAACACGTGCTCAGCGATGAAGAAAAGCATCGTAAGGAAACCTGCATGTTGAAGAATAAGATAAAAGATAATAATTTAGAAACCCTTCCGGAGACCCTTTTTACTGGAAAAGAGGCATTCCATCTTAGTCCTCACGGCTGACAACGCATCTGCATTTTGATTCGCAAACGAGGATAGATGTAGATGTCTATGGGCCACAGCAACCACTTACCATTAGGTGGACTATGTGCTCTTTTGTCACCCTATCCTATAAAAAAAATTGGTGTTGACGTGAGCATGTGCATAGGTCCAGCGCGGTGGACAATTCCTTGTTCTAAAACTGTCTCAGAACTGAGAGGATTGGCCTGTGCCCAAAAGTGGCACTAGGTAACTTCCTATCAGCACTTTTGGGCACATGTATTTATGCCCTGACATCATATGGTGGCAGGCGAAAAGTGAAAACTAATCTACATAAATAAAAAAATTATACGTGCCTTGATTCAATGTCTTAAATCTCTGAAAGTTCTTAACCAATTGCCAAAGAGTATATATTGTTAGAAAATATACTTAAAATTATTTAAATAAACGAACACTACACGGTATCAAGCCCTCCTAACTATCAAAAACCATTCTGGAGGCCAATTGCCAAAAATAATAAAGGTGTGAGAGCGAATACTCAACTTGCTCTTCTGCATACGCAACCGATCATTATGAGGAACAAGACAGAGCACTGCACCATAGATTCAGTATTGAACAATATAGTTCAATTAACCGTAAAATATTCCCGTCACAATCACACACCGGTGTAATCATGAAGGACCCAATTACATGATAACACCAACGTATGCAAACCAACAGCAACACTACCCATCTCAATGGAACACAGGGTAGCCTCTCAGTAACACGATCTTCCTTGCCTACACTAGTAGAATCCCGCAATGTGCATGGTAATGACAGTGAGACTCGTATAATTACCGAATGATCTCCCTTAGTCACCTCCGCGATACTTTCTACTGCTCTAAAGAGTGGGAGATTACAGTTCTACCCTCATTTCTTCGAGTTTCTTTTATTTTTTGCAATCATTCCTAACAATACATATATAATCACTACGTTTTAACCGCAACGTAGTGATTATATATGGATTACGTTTAAGTGTAAGTTAAATTATTATGATTAAATTTTGACACAACGTTACATTCGCGCGATTCAACAATTTTTTATATAATTTACGAATTAAGGTGATACAGATTTATTTAAAACTCAAATTAGTCAGGCTATCGACGCTTGTCAGTCACTCTGGTTCTACTGCGGATATCCTAATTTATAAGTTTATTACGCAGAAAATCTTAAGAATAGCCCTGTCCATTGCTCGCTGAGCGTACTTGAGCTTCCTCGTTCTGCCAACAGTGAAGGATCACATCTCAGATCCATAAGTCATAACTGGCTACACGCACTGGTTGTAAAATATTGTTTTCAAGTTTTGAGGGATACCTGACAAGAAGGTGTGTCATAATCTCCTGAATGCTGCCCGGCCGTGTTGGATCCATAGATAGACCTCTTGGTCGAATTTGGAAATACTTAGTCGGACTATTTGTCCCAGGCAAAAATACTCGTCAACGACGTTCATTTATTTACAAAACAATACGACAATTGCCATCCCGAAGATTGATATCATGTTTGTACTTCTCTACGCGTTTGATTTGAGTACGCAATGCAAAGCTAATGCCAGTAATCTCGTGGTTGTAGTAACAGAAGA